GTACATCGCAAGGCTGGTGATCCTTCCCTTGCCAAGATCCACGTCTATCGGGTGGTGATCGACTCGCCGATACCTTAGCCGCATCGCTCCCCCTTTCGCCTCGGCTTTGCCTCCTTTCCGATCGGGGGTTTCCTATAAAGCCATTCCTGTCCCGCTTCTGACCCGCCTCGGAGCTGGACTAGGACGAGCTTCACATGCCGCCACCAGCCTCTGCAGTGGATTTCTCGAATCTACTGAACCCCCAAGGCAACGCCACCTCTTCCACTCCTTCGACTCCCGTGGACAGCATCAAGGCGCCGTCCACTCCTACCAGTGCTCAGTCTAACACGAGTATGGCCTCATCGGTGAGCCTCCTCCCACCTCTCATGAAAGGAGCGCGCCCCGCCAACGAAGAAGTCCGCCAGGATCTTCCTCGCCCTTACAAGTGCCCCCTCTGTGACCGTGCCTTCCACCGCTTGGAACACCAGACCAGACACATCCGCACCCATACGGGTGAAAAGCCGCACGCATGCCAGTTCCCCGGATGCACGAAGCGCTTCAGTCGCTCCGATGAGTTGACGCGCCACTCCCGGATCCACAACAACCCCAACTCCCGACGCAGTAACAAGGCGCAACATCTGGCCGCCGCTGCTGCTGCCGCCGCGGCGGGTCAGGACAATGCGATGGTCGGCGCCCCGGCAGGAGCCATGATGCCTCCTCCCAGCAAGCCCATCACGCGGTCCGCCCCCGTCTCGCAGGTGGGATCCCCGGACGTGTCCCCGCCTCACTCGTACTCCAACTACGCCGGTCACATGCGGTCGAACTTGGGACCGTATGCCCGGCACGGCGAGCGGGCGTCTTCGGGCATGGATATCAACCTCCTCGCGACCGCCGCCTCGCAGGTCGAGCGCGATGAGCACTACGGCTTCCACGGTCCCCGTGGTCACCCGTTCTTTGCGCCCCGTCATCACGGCGGCACCGGTCGTCTCCCGTCGCTGTCGGCCTACGCGATCTCGCACAGCATGAGTCGCTCGCATTCCCACGAGGATGACGATGCTTACACGCAGCATCGCGTGAAACGCTCCCGCCCCAACTCCCCCCAACTCGACCGCTCCCTCCTCTCCCACCTTCTCGCACGATTCGCTCTCTCCCACGCCCGACCACACTCCGCTGGCGACCCCTGCCCATTCGCCGCGGCTGCGGCCTCTGGGTGCCAGTGAACTGCATCTGCCTTCGATCCGCCACCTGTCGCTTCCATCACACGCCGGCGCTCGCGCCCATGGAGCCCCAGCCGGAGGGCCCCCATCTACTACAGCCCTGCCCAGGGTCATGTGGGTCCCAGCATCAGCGACATCATGTCGCGGCCCGACGGCACCCAGCGCAAACTCCCTGTCCCTCAGGTGCCCAAAGTGGCCGTGCAGGACATGCTGAATCCGGCGACGGGATTTTCGTCGGTGTCCTCGTCGACGAACAACTCCGTCGCGGGTGGCGATCTGGCAGACCGTTTCTAGTCGGCTTGATGAATCCTTCCAGATGTAAACATTGGATTTCTACGTGCTACGAAACGAATAGACTACTTGTGCATTTACAGTGTGGTTCATGGGCATCATTGGTGTCGGGTGATTTGGTTTTGATCTTCTCTTTTGCGTTTGTGCCAATACACTTTTGCGGGGCGTCTCGAACTATAGATGGATGGACGGTTTTTCTTGTGACTGATTTTCTTTGCTCGTCGATTTCCTAATCCCTTTGGACTTCTCCCATCACTATTCCCTTCTCCCATGTGTCGAGCCGTTCGTGCGGCCGTTGCTCTTCAGCAATGTTTCTTTCCATCTCAACTCCAAGGCTCCGCCTTGTAATTTTTACCAACACTGGCTTACTTTTCCTTCTACCATGTCTATTTCAGCTTAGATTTCGACCTCCAGCAGGACAAGAGGGTTATCAAAATGAAAAAAGTTCTGATGATGTGGTTTTCGCGTGGTGATTGGTAGAAATCCGCCGTGCGTGTAGTTGCATTGCATGCAGGTATTCTGCATACTTTTAAGGGAATTTAAAGGACGTTGATATGGAATGTCAGACAGACTTAGGCAGTATCGATGTGGTGCCTACTAGGTACCTAGTATCCATGGTGTGCTTGTAGACATACCACATACACACCTTTAGGATATCGCACACTGACTGACATAAGTGGTGGCATCCAAACTCATAACCGATTGATTCTAGGACCATGAAGAACAAGGAACAAATAGAGATGACTTCTATATCCAAGTATATTATTATTATTGCTATAATACTGTATACTCTAGAGTACATTATCGTAGGGCCCCAGTCCATCTACCCCGTAACTGGCCAGGCTAGTCCCCCTCTCCACCATCCATCGTCCAACGTGATATTCCGATTCCTTCCTTCACCCCTCAAGCCCTACCGGAAAAGACGGCCATTCTCTTGCGCATGGAATATCCAGGTCTCTAACCGGTTTGTTTCGGGGGTGACCCTGGCTGGGATTAGAAATCAGTCTGAGTGAGAACCCTTTTCCCCGTCGGATATTTGACCTCAACCCCGCTTTGGGATCATGTCGTGATAGATACGGGCGCATCCTTCTCCATCTGGCGCGCGCAAACCCAACCCTCACACTGACCATGAGCGTCCAGGAAGCCTCTATCCATCGTCGTCGTTCTCGGCGTCTTTCTCCCGACAGTGCCCTGCCCGTGCCATCGGGCAGCTCTCCCACCACCACCACCACCCGTGGCCGACGCCATCCCGACACCCAAGATCCTCTGCCCTCCGACACAGACAGCATCCGCTGCCACAGCGGCGACAGCGACATCCTCGCGGGCAGAACCATGCCGTCGTCCGTGCCGTCGCTCTCCAGCGACGCCGCCTCCGTCTCGTCCTCGACATCCAGCCTGTCGCTCGACACGGGGTGGGCATCCGGCCTGGCAAACCACATCCTCGAAGACGACGGCACCGGCGCCCTCGTCGTGCTCCCGACAGCCCTTCCTCCACCCGCACCATCGCCCCCTCCACGCCCGCTCTCCATCTCGTCCTCCCCCGCCGCCATCGCAACCCAGTCCCACCCGCCGCAAACTCCCCGCCGGTACATCTGTCTCTTCCCCGTCCTCGACTGCCACGACACCTTCGACGACGCCGACCAGTGGAAAACCCACGTGCTGAGCCACTTCCGCACGCATGACCCGCCGGACACCGCGCGCTGCCCGCTGTGTCCGGACCTGTGCTTCGAGGACGACTCACCCGACTCGCCCGACGCCGGCCGCGCCTGGGACCGCATGCTCGACCACGTCGACGCCGCGCACTACCGCCGCGGCCAGTCGCTCGCCGGCTGTCGCCCGGACTTTGCTCTGATGCAGTACCTGTTCCGGCTGCGCATCATCTCCGTCGACCAGTTCAAGGGCATGCAGATGCCCCCGCCGCCGTCGAGCCCGGCATACCACCGCTCGCAGGAGCCGCTGCGGAGGAATATTGGCTCATCGGATGAGCCGTATTGCGCGCCGTATAGTCGGCGACGGGAGGAGCGCATGCGCGGGCAGCGGAGGGGGGTCAGTGTTGTCTAGTGGGGTTTGATGGGTTGAGTCAGGGCAGACTGTGTGTGGGTGTTTCTCTTCGTGTGCATCTTTTCGTCGTGTGGGCTTGTTGCGTGTGTATATGTTGATGTATGTCGCCGGCTCGCGGCGTCACCTCTGTTCGGTCTTGTATTATCATGTGCAATGTTATTGATACCTCGTCGTTTGGTGGTGTTGTTGAAGTAGACTCGCGCGTCGTAGCACATTGTCAGACGTAGGTTGGGGTGTCTGTAAGGCGGAGTCTTATGTAGGGGATGACATTCCTGTGCGCCCTGTGGCGGAAGACTCGGTGAGACGCCTTTTGGATGTATCTCATTTCCCCGCATGACGCATCATCTGGTTGGCCATGGTCGTGTGGACGGAGTCCATCTGGATATTGCTGGTTAGGATGGGATTTCCACCGCATCTTGTTGGTCGAAGCTGTCGTCAAGTATCTTGGGGTGTATCCCTAGCGATATATATCTCGTGCGTCACGATATCAAGGTACCCGGATTGAGGGACAGTGCTTTGAAGTGGCTTCGGGAATTCCGTAAAGATGCATGCTCATATACTCCTCAAACCTAACACGATTGGAAGAATAGTCAAGGCCAGCGGTGTATGTTCCTAACAGGCATGAATATCCATGGATGTAGGGACCGACCAAATCCGGCAACCGAGCAAACAAGACAAACACCCACGGCGCACTTCTCTCGCTCTCCGAACCAGCCAGACTCCATGCGAGCAGCTCCCCCACGACCCTCCCGGCGCGCGACTAGCCTCTGCACCGTCGCAGAATGAGAATATCACTCGCTTGCTCTCATCGCTAGATACTTACCTTCTCCGTGGATCGTCCTCGGATGCCGTCCCGCTGACCCAATTGACCGAAACCTGGATTCTACAACCCCGTCCCGCCTCACCCCTCCGAACACCATCCGACCATGGAGCGCCTCTCGCTGAACGACCAGCCCCCCGCCGGCGGCCAGCAGGGCCCTCCGCCGCAGCAGAACAACATGCTCGGGCCCATGTCGCAGGGCCCGCCGCAATTGCCGCCGCAGATGTTCACGACCGCAGCGCAGCTGCTAGATCTGACTGATAGTATGTAGTTGCGATGGGATAGCGTGGCGTAGGAGTGTATCTGACAGTTGTGTGTTGCAGAGAAACTGGTGCTAGTGCTGCGTGACGGGCGCAAGTTGATCGGCGTCCTGCGAAGCTGGGATCAATTCGGTATGTTTCCCACCCTGATGGAACCAGCTGCTGGTTCGCTTTCGTCTAACGCGCCGCAGCAAACCTCGTCCTGCAGGATACCATCGAGCGCATGTACGCCGGAAACCTTTACGCGGATATTCCCCGGGGAATTTTCCTCGTGCGTGGTGAGAATGTGTTGCTTTTGGGTGAAATTGTATGTCCATCTCATTGTCTCCCTGGATCTCCTGCGGTGTGTATGCCGGCTAACGGTGGGTAGGACCTCGACAAAGAAGATGACATCCCCTCTCACGTCCAGAAAGCCTCATTCCAAGAAGTCTTCGAGTTGAAGAAGAAGGAGGAAGCGAACCGGAAAACGGGCGACAAGAAGCGTCACGACAAGCTCCAGGGTCTCGGTTTCGAGCCGGAACATAGTGGAGAGATCTTATTCTAGCCGTCGTCTTATCACCTTTTGTTATTCTTTCTATGGATCTACACCATGCCCTGCCAGATGATGGCTCATACCCAAATGACGGGTAGTTCAGCGTCGCCTCGACGTGATGGTGGTTAAACCTATCGCAGAGCCAGATGATTTCTCTTCTGGGATGCTATGACAGCTCGGCTGGTGGACCATAACATGGCTCAGAGCTGGAGTACTCAATTGGCCATGTGCGAATGGATAGAAGATATGGATGATCTGATGAACCGTCTGACTCCATCCAGACGGCATGTTTGACGATTCTGATGTCTGATTACGCGATACTGTTGGGAATTTTGATGCTGATCCTGTCGAGGATACCCGTATTGAAGAGAGAATAAAAATACATCCATTGTCAATATCCATGTAGTATATACTGCCTGGTAGTCGTCTGGAGTATACCGAGCATGTTGTGTAGATGGTGTATCTTATCGATAGGCCCCGCCAAGAATCGCCGTACCTTTTCCCAATTTTTTTTTTTCTGGCGGTCCCGAAACAGAAAAAAAAAAACTCCGCAAATCCACCACCACCACTTCACCTTCTCTCCTCATTCTTCTCTTCTCCTCTCTTTCTCCCACCACCCTCCCTTTCACCTGTCTTCTCATTTGCCTGTCGGTCGATCCGCCCATCATGGCGACCCTGGCGGAGAAGTTGGAGAAGATCAAGTCGCCCAAACTGCAGAATCAGCACCATGTAAGTCCGCGCGTGAGGGACCGCCCAATTTCCATCGATACCTGGCTAACAATCCCTCTCTCACTCTCTAGACGGCCGTCGTGCTCTCTGCTGTCGAAGACACCCTCCGCGATCAAAAAGCCGACTTCTCGGCGACCGCTTATTTCGCCGCTCTGCTCGCTCTGTTGTCCCAGTCTCTGTCGGCTTCCCAGGGCATCGTGAATAAGGACCTGGCCACCTCCGTCGTCTATCTTCTCGACATTACCACCGGCTTCGTTCCCGCCCCGATCCTCCGTTCGAAGTTCTCTCAGATTCTCACCGGTCTTGCGCCCGCCCTCTCCCTGCCGGAAGTCGAAGCCCCGCTGCTCAGACCGTCCATTGGCTGCCTTGAATCGCTGCTTATCGCCCAGGATGCCGCAGCTTGGAACCTCCCACATACCCAGATCAGCCCGCGACGCGCCACGGCCGGTTTGCTAAGTCTGTCTGTGGACCACCGCCCCAAGGTGCGCAAGCGGGCCCAGGAGGCCCTCGTCAAGGTCCTGCAGAGCCCGCCGCCGAGCCCGTCCATCGACCATCCCGCCGCGGACATGTGTGCGGAGAGCGGCCTCCGCACTTTGAGCGACAGCATTGCCGCCGCAACCAAGCAGCGCCGCGGTCGCCATGACCCCAACCACCGCGACAACCCGGACCCCCTCGTCATTCACTCCCTGCAACTGGTCAAGACCATTGCGACCGCCTCGGGCGGATGGCCCAGCAAGAAGATCGAGCCGCTGTGCGAGCTCTTAATGACGGCGTCCCGCTCGACGAACGAGTACATCACCATGGGCGCCTTCGAGGTCTTCGAGGTGATCTTTTCTAGCATGGCTGACGAGGTGTCGTCGTCCAAGCTGCCCCGACTGCTCGAGGCCATCGCCGAGTTGAAGCCCGCCCAGAACGATTCGCAGCTGCTCCCGCCCTGGATCGCCGTCCTGTCCCGCGGCTATGATGTTTCTGCGCAGATCGCCCCCGAGGATACCTTCGAGAAACTCCCCGACCTGTTCAACATGATCTCCAGCTTCCTGGCTTCGCCGTCCGTCAACATTCGCGTGTCCGCGTCCGAGTGTCTGATTTCCTTCCTGGCGAATTGTATCCCCAACAGTGTCATCATCGAGCCATCCGTGTATGACGAGAAAACGCTCGAGAAGCTGGCCAAGGCGGCCACCGATTTGCTGTCCGTCAAGTTCCAGGTTGCGTGGGCCGAAGTGTTCAATGTGTGCTCCGCCATGTTTGACAGTTTCAAGTGGCGGTCCAGCCCGTTCCTGGATGACATCGTCAGGACTGTGGGCGAGCTCCGCACCAACGAGTCATTCCACGGGAAGAAGGAGGCGGACGCGGTGCTTGGAAGCGCCATTGAAGCCATGGGCCCCGCAGCGGTGCTGGAAATCCTGCCGTTGAACCTGATTGAGCAGAAGCCCGGCCAGCCCGGACGTGTGTGGTTCCTCCCGGTGCTGCGCGATCATGTCACCAACACCAACCTGGCACATTTCCGCGCCGAGTTTGTCCCCCTGAGTGAAATGCTCTACCAGAAGGTCATGGCGTTCAGCTCCGCCGAAAAGACCGTCGAAGTGAAGATCTTTGAGACCCTCGTACAGCAGACGTGGGGTATCCTCCCCGGGTACTGCGAACTGCCTCTGGACCTTGTCGAGGCGTTCGACCAGAGCTTCGCCGAGCTGCTGTCCAATGTGCTCTACAAACAGACCGATCTGCGCGTGGATATCTGCCGCGCCCTGCAGAACCTGGTGGAATCCAACCAGGCTATCCTGTCGGTGGAGGCCGAAGAAGACGACCTGATCCTCCAGCGGCGCATCACCAAGGCTGCCGCCGCGAAGAACATCGCTCACCTGGCTGGATTTGCCAGCAACCTGTTGGCCGTCCTGTTCAACGTGTACAGCCAGACGCTTCCCCACTACCGAGGCTACATCCTCCAGTGTATCAACGCATATCTGAGCATCACACCGGAGAAGGTCCGTCACAATCACTCCCTCCCAGAAACCATGGCTAACGCTGTTTAGGAACTGAATGAGACATTCGCCCGTGTCACCTCCATGCTTGAGTCCTCCATGGTGTCGGAGCAGGAAGCCGCCGCCAAGCAAGGTAACCAGCAAGGCGGTTCGGGCGGCGATAAGATGCCCCCGACCTCACACACGCTGATCGACCTGGTGATCGCCATGTCGATCTACCTTCCGCGGACCAGCTTCGCCAACCTGTTCGCCATCGCCGCGGCCGTCCTCAACGGCAGCACTACCGACCAGCAACTCATCAAAAAGGCCTACAAGCTGATCCCGCGACTGGCGACGACGGAGACAGGCAGCGCCGCGCTGCGCGAGCGTAGCTCCGAGCTCCAGACCCTCATCCTCTCGACGGCCGATAAGACGCCCGCGTCGGCCCGTCGCGATCGCATGCTCGCCATGTACGAGATCGTCACCTACCTGCCCACCTCCGACCTGCACTTCATCCCGTCTGTCCTCTCCGAGGTGGTGCTCGGCTGCAAAGAGAGCAACGAGAAGGCGCGCACCGCCTCGTTCGACCTCCTCATTCACCTGGCCAAGCGCACCACTGACACGGAGCGCAACCCCCCCGGAACCACGATCCGTAACTCGCTTGTCCCGCACATGCCCAACGACGCTCCCGACGCGCCCGCCACCATTGAGGAGTTCTTCACCATGGTGTCGGCCGGTCTGGCGGGTAGCTCGCCGCACATGGTAGCCGCATCGGTGACAGCGCTGTCGCGTCTCTTCTTCGACTTCCACACGCAGCTCCAGCCCGCCGTGCGCGCCGACCTCGTGCAGACGGTCGAGCTCTTCCTCACCAGCAACAACCGCGAGATCGTCCGCTCCGTCCTGGGCTTCGTCAAGGTCGCTGTCGTCGTGCTGCCAGACGACCTCCTCCGTTCACGGCTCAGCGCCCTCGTCCCCAACCTCATGGTCTGGAGCAAGGAGCACAAGGGCCGGCTCCGTAGCAAGGTCAAGGGTATCCTCGACCGGCTCATCCGGCGCTTCGGCGCTGCCCCCATTGAAGAGCTCGTCGGCGAAGCCGACCGCAAACTCGTTGTCAACATCCGCAAGCAGCGCGAGCGCCGCAAGAAGAAGAAGGCCGCCGGCGACGCGGACGACGACAACGACGACGAAAACGAAACCGCCGCCACCAACGCCCGCGCCCAACACAGCAGCGCCGCCTTCGACAAGGCCGTCTACGACTCGGACCTGTCGGACTCGGACCTGGACGACGACGCCAGCGAGATCGATGTCGACGAGACGGGCCGCACGCACGCGCGCCGAAGCGGCGCCGGTGGGCGTGCCAAGAAATCCGCCCAGAGCGAGCAGTACATCCGCGAGCTGTCGCCGGAAGACAACCCGCTCGATCTGCTGGCGCCGCACGCGCTGGCCAACATCTCCACGACCAAGCCAAGCGTTCGCTTCCTCAACACGGGGCCTGGGTCGCGCCGCAAGCAGCGCGCCGCCAAGACCGACGCCGACGGCCGGCTCATCTTCGGCGACGACGACGCCGACGTCGAGATGGGCGGCGATGGCGCCGGGGCCCCGCTGGATGGCGCGGCCAGCGGCGTCAACGCGTACGTCGCGGCCGTCAGCGGACCGGACGCCGTGCGCCGCGGCCAGCGCGGCAAGCTCAAGATGGCGCAGGCGCAGAAGAAGAAGGGCGGCGCCGCGGACCACGACGACGACATGGACGTCGACGAGGGCGATGCCGCCGCCGCGGTGGTATCCAAGCGCGCCGGCGACCGCAACAACGGTCGTCGCGGGCTGGGCGCCCCCAAGACGCATGGCCCCAGCGGAGGCAAAGGGGGCATCCAGAAGCGGCGGAGCTTTGGTGGTCGTGGCGGTGGAGGACGCGGCGGACGCGGCGGTGGCATGCGCCGCAGATAACATGGACGGCAAAAGCGCATCTTTTCTTTTCTCTCTTCCCCTATTTGTTGTTATTTTCTCACATCTGCGTCTGTTGTATGCGGCGCATGGTTTCCCTGCTGCATTTGGTTCGGTGATTCGGGTTCCAGATTGACCGGATGAATGAACGACCTGATGACGACCCCCCGTATGGGTTTCCTTCTATCTCTCTGTCTGTCTGTCTACATACCTTCCTACTTCCTACGCAGAGGGATCAGATTGCGCTTCAGTATGGATGGCACTATGGATTGATGATTCCCCTCCTAGGCAGGTATTGTTATACCCTCGCGTTCTTTCGTTCAGTCTTACATAAAACACGCTCTTGCGATGATAGAAGGAAACCAATAGAATAATTCTTTCTTTACCAACGTACTTGACCTAGACTTGTTGATAGATCGGATGCAATTTAGTCTACCCTTAGCGTCGTTCTTACCCGACGATCCTACGGATGGATCGGGCTCGACAGGTCAGATCGGACTAGAAACTTAAAAAGGAAACTAATGAAAACTCAAGAGTAATCCCGGGTATCATCAATTCTTCGCACCGTACAAGTACAATTTCCTGATCCGCCGATGATCCATGCCGTCTGCACATTAGATTGCCTCTCCTCGAGAGAAACCAGAAAAGCAAATATAGTAAGACAATTTCCGACTCCCCGCGCCGGTGACCATCCCAACTCCTGTACGAAAATGGACTGAAAGGCAAAAGTCATTCCACATATCCCAAACATTGGTATCATGCCAGCATCAAAGCAAAGGTGGGTTCGCGCTAAAAAGAACAAAAGGCAATAAGAGAGGGGACGAAAGGTAGGCATCGGCTGGTTAGCGAGACGACTTTCGCGCCTTGCTCAACCACATGTGCCACCATTTGCACACGCCAAGGACAGCCGCGCGGCCATCGTCTCGGCGCTCGGTACCATCGGGGTTTCCCAGCATCATGGCGAAGATCCAGAAGAATGCGGCAGTCCAGACCAGGAGGAAAAAGGCCAGTGACAGGATAGAAGAGCAGAGGAGAACAGCAATCAGCCCGAACATCGAGTAATCCCGCGTCGGGTCCGATTCCCCGTCGGTATCCTGGCCGTTATAGATCGACTGGGTAGACGATGACCGATACGATCGTCGCAGACGAACCAGTCGCTCATGGTAGTGCAATTGCGGCACCAGCAGATCGCACAGTTGGGCGCGGAAGGATGTCTTGCGGAGGTATGGGATGCAGGAACAGAGGCGAAGCGGAGAGCTCAGGAGTACGAAGAGGAGACCGAAAACCGTGTATAGGGAGGTGCAGAAGGAGTACAGCGGGACCGGGACGGAGAGTCGGAACTAAAGAGAATCACGTTAGCGAGGGCACGGCCCACTCTCTGCGCAGATACTCACCAGCATTAGGAGTGCATCTTGACTGTCATCCCCGAACGCCTCCTCCTCATCTTGCGCCGGACGCTTCTGCGCACGACCGACGCTCTGCGCATGATGATTGTCGCCCGACGACAGGTACGACGAGTGATCCGTCCAGCTTCCACGAGTGCGATCCTCTTTACGCATAGCTCCGGCACTGTGCGCAACGCCGTTCACCACGGCACTATGCTCTACATAGGGCGAAACAAACGTCGGAGGAACTCCCGCGGTCGAGTCAGGATCGGGGTAGATGGATTGCCCGAGCTCTTGGGAAAGGGCCGGATAGTTATGCGACGACCGAGAATGTTGGTAGGAATGTCGGAATTCGGGAGCTTCCCAGGGGGTGGACGACGCATACGTATTGGTCAGATCGCCGCCCCTCGACGAGGGACGGGACGAGACGGGCCCCGGTGGCGGAGCGTGGCCCTGCACTGGCAAGGGGGCGTGCGGGAGATGAGCGGCAGGAGGAGCGGCGGGAGCACAGTCTTGAAGAATGGTGGTAGCCACGGCCTGGTTGTTGTCCTGATAATAGGCGGGGGAATGGGACATCTCCGGTTGCCTCATGATGGACGGAAGGGAGGAAGGAGAGGAAGGAAGGAAAGGAATGAAAAGAGTCGGTGGATAAACCAAGGACGCAGGGTGAACGTCGCCCCTTTGTCAAGTGCGCCGGGAGGCAGACACAGGCACAACACACAGAGACTCCAGGTGGTACAGAGACGTACACTGAACGACCAGGGCACTATCACCGCATGGCTTGGGGCGCAAGGGGCATGGAACACGAGTCAACCATCCGACAGAGGGAGTAAAGAGTCCCGAGAGATGTTTTGAGGTGGAATTCCGTAGCTTCCGGGGGGCGGAGGTGACTTGAACGGTTCCAGAAGGGCTGTCTATAGAGCGGCGGGAGCGCTCCAGACAGATGACAGTCACGGAGGGGAAGAGGAGGACGAGAATGGGAGGAAAGGGAGAGAAGGGGGAGGGAGCGGAAGGGCGACGGAGGAGCTTATAAGACCGCCATGGGAGCAGAGGAGGGAAAAGAGAGCGGAAATCCCAAGACCAGGACAAGAAATCAGAGGAAAAGACTGGTCTTGTCGTGCAGCGGAGGCAGGGCGAGCCTTTCGGTCTTTGTCTCTCTCTGGCCGGGGGGGCTGCCAAGACGCCCAGCGGCCGAGCCCTTGGCATGCGAATGAGAGTTTCAATGGAGATCATGATGGAGAAATCCAATGTCGGCACAGGGCATTCTGACCGCAATGTGGAGGCATTGTGGGTGGTCGTAGGAGAGGAGAAGGAGATGAAGTTGAAGTTGAAGTTGACGGAGAAGGAGGAGGAGAAGATGGTGAGGAAGAGGAAGAAAGACAAAGAAAGAAGAGCAAAATGGTGATGAGGATAAATTACGTGACTTCCCATTACGGAATGCCAAGCCGCCAAGCTGCTGCGGGGATCCTAGCCCAGAATATACTCCCTAGGATTGGCTAACCGGTTCCATGTGCGACTTGGCATGATCGTTCTCGGTCTAGCGCCGACGCCTCGCCTTGTCCATCTTTCTCTCGTTTGCTTCGGCATCTCCTTACGCAAGTTACGTTTTCATCACGTCCACTACTACTACTACTACTACTACTACTACTACTCCGTACTCCGTATATACTAACTACTACCTACTACCATCCTTAGTACGGCCTCCACCGCACAATCACGACAATCATAACCACCATCTGATCTTCTCAGCCCTACTTTCCTCTCCGTCTTCTTGGCCCCTTTTCACCGTCCTCATCATCTCGTAACTCCATCCCCGCCGAGCCCCCGCCCAGAACATTGGCGGTATCAGTCTCCTCGCCGTCTTTTCCGGGCCGCTGCAGAGTGATTCGTCTTTGTCGCCGGTCCAGCATTCCTTGGTTCTCCCTTTCGCCGTTGTTTTCCTGATTGGTGGGGGAAGTTCGATCAAGCTAGAAGACAGACGTAGACCATCCATCATGGACACTTCACGCATCATGGGTTAATACTCTGATCAGCCACGTCCTCGGAATCCCATTAGCATGTGGCGTTGGGACACGATCAATCCCTCGTGTCAGGCGGTCCCAACATTGCACCTCCCTATCCGGACGAGCCGCCCTTGGCCTGCCTGCCCAGATAGCAAAAGGAAATCTCTTCATCTTGGCCGTTCATGGAGGCATGGCACGCCCTTCGGGAGACTTGGTCCATCGGTTGCGCCCGATATCTCCATGATGGGTATTGCCGAGAGGCACGGAATGTGCTTCCAAGAACATCGGCATGTCCTCTGCGTAGGCCCTCTTATATCGATGCGCTTGGCGATGGTCCAGATCATCTCTTTAGTCATAACTACCACCCGAGCGGTGTGAAGACCCGAGGTGGAATGGACGATGACGAATCCCCGCAGGTAGATGAGACGTTTAGTGACGACCTTTCCCCTCGAGGAGTCAACTTGGTCCTCGGATCTTGATCTTGATCGACGCATTGCCCAACCCGCTCAACCTTAACCGAGTGCCCTCATCGAGGCTCAATTGGCCGCCGGTGCCGCCAAGTGGATCAATCTCTTGGGTGACAACCACATCGCACAGCTGTCTGTCTGTCGGCTCCGACTCATGTGCAGACGCTGCATCCCCCTGTTCATGTGTCCGTCTCGGCTAGCAGCTAACTTTAGAGCTGTCATCTTGTCTTCTGTTTTTCCGTTGCTGTCAATGTCACTAACGCTATTTGTTATTTCATGCCATAGGTATAGTGTCAACAGCCTCTGTGAGAGATGTCTACTCTTCATCGGACTGACGCTCCGTTAATTATTCTCAATAGGTATGTTTACACATCAATCGACTACTCCATCCCTCCACTGAGAACCCTGCCTCAGAAACGCCCCAGCTATCGTCTCTAACATCGTTTACAGCGATAGTCGACCCATCATCACCTTCCAGCATCCTTCAACATTCAAAACCATATCCCACACAAAACACCAAAACTACATTCAGCACCGTACCAAACTTCCGCAAACGCAGCCTGGGCCCTCGACGGCCGGCAACAACAGCGAGTTTCCAGGTGGAACTCAGCATCGAATCTATCGACGATCCGTAGCAGCAGGGGCGGTGGTCGAGCTCCCCGACGAGTCGCAGTATTCACGGCTCCTACATATCTGGGAAACCAGAGGTCTATGGCGTCCCATCAGATACCTGATAGCTCTTGGCAATCCAGGTACCGGAACGCGAGGGAACGAACGACGTACCCTCGACCATTCTGTCGGTGGGGACGACCTCTTTGGGGGCTCGATGTCCCTGTCCGTCAGACACAGAAGTGGTCCTTCCAATTGTACGGTAGTTCGTCGCGTCGACGCCAGGGTAATCTGACGTAGCCTCCGCTGTAGCCATGAATCCGGCAGTACTCTATAACTCAGTCAGTTTTGCCACGCTCTGTCTGTTGTAGTTGCAGCCCTTTTATTGTGGTAGTCCCAAAAGAAAAGCTGAATGCGACCGAGTTCAGCAATACAATTTGTTCTTTGATCGAACAGAAGGTTCCTGTCGCTCAGTTATTTTCTCGGGTCAGGAAAACTATTGCTGTTGTTGATTCACTATATCCAGGTGAGCTGGTGTTGACATGTACTCAGGATCAGACGATGGGTATCTACACAGAATAGCTGCGACTCGGATAAACTACGGCTTCTGCTGAGACTAGATTGTTGGATTTGTAGGATCCTGGGGAAGCCATACTCACGAGTGGCGGTCAACTGTGGACTGCCAACTGCAATATATATTTCTGTCTCATCCGAACCCCCGCAAGACGCATGTTGCCCTAAAACAAGCCACCACAAGATGATACGCCACAACAGCCCCTACACCATTGAATGACAGAAGATTCCACAGATATGCAGTCCACAGGGATCACGTCAAACTCATGTACTCCGAATATGATTCACCCGTCTACTACCTAGGTACACGCGACCTTACCTAAGGCAAGATGACATCTCCACAACGGAAAGTCAATAGGGCAGAAGTTGATTGCGTCGGTGGAGCCATAAACCTCGGTAGATGCAAGGATCCGAACGGATCTTGATCCGCATTACAATTGGACACTGTGGCAGACTGGGTGAGTAAGCAGACTGGCAGCGTATTCTGTCTGATACACATATAAGGGAGTAATCCAAGCCCACAGGGACATCCAGCATCAGACCACTGGTGTCGCACTGCAGCGTTTATTTTCATCTGATCGCGCAAGGTCACCACCGCCGCGGATATAATTACTACGAGACATCACCCACACCCCTAGATTTGCAGCGCAGCATCGGCAGCACAGAACTAAAGGGCGGACTGCATGCTGCCGTGTAACGTGATCCGGGTGATGGTGGATTTTCCCTTTGGGTTTTTCTTTTTCTAAGTCGAAAAGGAATAATTTCCTGCGAGATGGTGGTTTCTGTCCTGTGCGCGTGTCCCTGTATGCAGGCGGGCTTCCACACAGTTACCCGCATGATCGCGCCGCCCTGATTCGGCCGTCACTCCTGTCAAAGTTTGCCAGGCGCAGCGCCTCAGTCGGTGGGACAGAGCCGATGGAAAGGAAAGAAATGCTGGGAAAGACAAGATTGCGCGGTGTCGACACCTGCAGCTGCATCCCGACGTCTGCGTCTGCAGCCTTCATCCTCAGAATAGATGCGCGATTCATGATAGTCGTAATAGACGGGAAGTCAAATACCGATCCTTGCGTGGGGTACTTTTACGAACCCCTTCCATGGGTGCAGTTCACGCTGCCTCGGGGGGTGTTGCCGGTAATGATGACCACCGCCCCGTCCACGGGGCTGGATTGCATACATCATCAAGCACATACCTCTTGTGTCGGGTGGGTTTGTATGATGGGAACAAGTCATTTGCTAGAGGGGATCTTTTCCGAGGAGCTGACCGGGTCGTTCTGGCTCGTATTATTAGGGATGCCTAAGAAGATGGGTGTCCAGGCATTATCATCTTTAGGGGTACCATACTACCATTTATCCAGGATACATGCAGGATGGACCCCGTATATTGGTGTGTATAATCATTTTTATCTCATCCAATACACACATGTATATCAAGGGGAAACTAATGCCACGGAAGAACAGGCATGAGTGGCATGTGCTCTGCGTGACTGTCATCATGCCGCCGAGGAAGAATAGAAGATCCTTGGTATGCCACCACCTAGGTATGTATGCCCTCCAAGCCAGGGAGAAGTCTGTTGCCTATCTGAGAACCATCGTGCTGACCCCAGGCTGCCGGCTCGGGCCCGACCTCCACCCGCCATATGAAGGGAAGGGGAAAAAGGAACGGCTTTTCCAAGGTTTGTGGACTGCGGCGGTCCCAATCCACTCCTTCCTCTGACTTTATAATTGGTGTAATCTGGGAAAAGGACCATCTAAATAATTCTTATGATGTTGTGGCTATCCTGGCCCGTGGTCCTTCGTACATCTGCAGCTCCTGATCTCATCCCTCCCGCCATGGTGGGAAGAAGCAAAGAAATCGACAGGTAGAGACGGGCAATTAGGGAGACTGGAACGCATGTTTATGGAGTACAATCCCTCCCAGACGGGGAAAATGAGATCGGCCCACTCTGGTGATGTATCAAGATCGTCGACATCAAGTGGTAAAAAGCCGACGGATCAACACGCCCCACTGGATGGAATCCGTTAGGAATCTGTCTGGTCTTTGTGGCTGATGGGCATTTTTGGGCGTTGGCGTCGGCCCTTAGTCAGCGCCGGTTGCTGGGAGCCTCGGAGCAATCATGACGGAAGGGGCAAACTTAGAGGGAAAAAAAAGAAAAGGAAAAAGAAAAACGCCAAAGTCATTATTCCTAGCTCCTTGAACAAAGGACTCCATGCAGGGCCTATTGAATACCTAGGTACTTATGATCGATCGACAATCGGAATCAATCCCGTCCTTTGACAAGAATCTTGCATTAATTGGGTGGAAATGACAGAATCACTAACTGGTAGATGCCAGCACAAATACAGCTTCCCTGGACGAAGCTGAAGACGACCGGGAAGATGCATCCCAAGTGGGCGTA